GTGGTAGTGGTAGTGGTGGTAGTGCTAGTAGTAGTAGTAGTAGTAGTAGCAGCAGCAGCAGCAGGAGGAGTAGTAGTAGTAGTAGTAGCAGTAGTAGCAGTTGCAGCAGCAGGAGCAGCAGCAGGAGGAGGAGTAGTAGTAGTAGTAGCAGGAGCAGCAGCAGCAGCAGCAGCAGCAGCAGCCGTAGTAGTAGTCGTAGTTGTGGTAGTAGTGGTAGTAGTGGTAGTTGTGGTAGTTGTGGTAGTAGTGATGGTCGTGATAGTTGTGGTAGTAGGGGTACTGATTGTTATATAGTGGAAAAAGCAACAGCAGCAGCAGCAATAGTAATAAAGACGAACAAAAAGAATCTCCTGCTTTCTCACGAGGAAGGGACCGGTGGCCGCGCTTACTCAGTACCACTTGACATTGTATTCATAACATGCTGCTGTATGTTTGCACAAGGTCTATCATAGAAATTATATTCCTGAGTCAGTTACAATGAGCCTCAACATGACGGCCGCCAACTCTGAAAATCCGACTCAACCCCAAGCAGTAAGAAGTGGGATGTGGGTCTCTCAGCAGGTGAACACATGCCTTCAAGCGCAGGAGTGACTGCAAATGCGAGAGCTCCGGCTGCCGTGTGCATGTCCTCCTGCATCTTGTTTGCATAGAAGATAACCTTGTCTTCTCGAGTGACTTTGTAGCCAGGCTGCTTGAAACGCTCGGTCATAACAATGAAGTCATGTGACATTGGAACGAAAATGAGCATAAGAATTCCCACAACAGGGCAGAGACAACGGCATACTTCGAAGCCCATGGAGCGGATGCTCAAACTCTTCTGCACGAATTCGTGCTTTGGAAACTCGCTGGACAGAATGAGCAGAGCAGCCAAGAGCATAAGGACTTGAAAGGTGGTTCCATGAGGCGTGGACGTCTGATGGATCGTTTTGCTCACCGATTCAGGCAGTCGTCGAAGCAACGTGTCTACATCCACGCTTCGAGTGCGAACGTGTTCAATCTCGATGATTCGTGTCCGCCCCTGGTCACAGACGTAAATCGCTGCATGACCGCAGGCTGCAGCTATGATCAGAAACAATGAGGCCCAGAAGGCCTGTTGGAAGCTATCATTCTCAGCCTCACCCAGCATGGGACCCTAAAGGCGAGTAGAACGGAACGGATTGAGCCCACCTGCGGACATGGCTTCCATGGCCACCCTTCTCTGCCCGAACAAAGCTTTCTGTCTCTCGTCTTCGTGCTTTCAAAGGCAGATTGTTAGCACTCCACCACGGGACTCCAGCATTAGTCTATCGAACCAGCAAACACACCACAACACTGCAAGCGCACTTTTGCCAGCGGTGCTCCGAAGCTATAGGCGATAGACGCCAGGTTTCCAAGCGAATGGCAGGCTTACTTCTTCCGGTGGTGCCAGCATGGTGGGTACCTTTGATGTCTGCATTACGTCTACATGTGGATTACATTTCTTTCCCAAGCTATTGAGTGGACAGCAACTGCTTCGCAGTTCTAGCCCGAGGCTTTCGCCGCTTCGCCAAAGAGAAAAAACACCTTCTAGTTGGGCCAGAACCCATGCGACTGAGTGTTTGACAGTGCAACGCATGCTGCACTCCTCTTGCCATCATCGGGTAGGCAAGGAAGGATGTCAAAATTCGTGCACGGCTGCGCTTCATCGAAACATCCTAGCTGTGCAGAAACACCAGCTACCTGCTGCCAGTAGATATGCTAGCCGCAGATTTTCAGTTCGACGCGCGCGAGCCGTAAAGTTCCCTTTGGGAAGACAATGAAGGTATGATGAATGCGGCAAGTGTGATGCTCCTCTGGATATCTCTTGCTTCAACATGTAGGAAGATCAGCACCACATGAAAATGCCGCGTATAATACTAAGAGCCAGCCAGATCTACGCCTTGTAGCCAGCTAGAGTTTCATTTACAGGGCAGACGCATTCGTGCGACCGCGGGCAAGTTCCACGCTATCTGTCTGCTATCAACAATGCGATGAGTGACCCTAGGCTCAAACCATGAACCATGCCATTGTGAGTAGATGCTATGTTGGGTCACTCGAGAAACCACGGAAGTTCGGAACACAGCTCACTTGGCTGAGAACTGTAGTCGCCTTCTCGCGTGAAGCCGACTTCTACACCAGCTCAGACCTTGCGAACGCAAAGGCCATGCTAGATACGTGACATGAGTTCGAAACGTTAAGGTCCTGACACGGAAGGGTCCTTTACTCCCTTCCTTCTCACTTCCAGATAAGCATTGCACAAGAATGCCGCAGCATTGATTCCAGTCCTGCATCGCCGCTTTCAGAAGAACTCGCTTTCACTAACACAAGGCGTCGGCGCATCGTCCTCTGGACAATGTCGGGCCAGCTCCATGCTCCAAGCTTCTAAATCACGCATGAGCTCCTTTCGCAGACAAGAAGCAGGCAGAATGCCAAAAACAGAAAAGCAAAGAGCATTGCGGATCCTCCACGGCCTTTTCGACAGGCTCCCGGAGAGAGGGACATACATTTGTATATATGTCCTGGCCGACCGCAACCCCGAAAGAAACCATAAACAAATACAGTACACAAGATCATGAACCGCAGGAAGTGCAACTGCGAGAGCTCCCCGTTGACTCCATTCACGACTCGCTTCACGAGCACTTCCCAGGCGGCATCTTCGAAGCAGCCCGTGGTCAGTGTTCCACCTGGTGGCAAACCGATTTCTAAGGAAACGTTGTGCGAAGTTCATTCTCGCCTTGGCTGGGCTTCATGGTCTCCATCAAGAGCTGCTTGGTCCGCCCAAACCTTTCAAGAGGCTGCAACTGGGCGAGCAAGAAGCAAACTTGATGAGTGAGCCCTTGGCTTCTGCATCAGGCTGATGAGCTCCGGATCGCTGGGCTCAGGCGCCTGCAGAATCGCAAAGGCGAGCTTCACGATCCGCGCAACAACTTGTCCGATGCTACTTTAACAGACATGCGGAGCATCCTCCTTCTGCACCACGTTGCTGTCAGCAAACCTCACACTTCATGCATCTCAACGCATTCAGCCATGTAAATGAACACTCCATAGTCCTGCGAATGGAAATTACGGCTGGCACCTGTGAGGCAAAAGGCTCTTGAAGAGACCGGAGAGCTGACACGGCCTGGAGAAACACTCAACCTTTTCCGTTCTCGAAGCAGCGCTGGAGCTCCTACTTGCTGAGACACTCGCTTGTCCAAGTATCTAAGCCATGCCAACCTTTCTGTCACGACGGTGTGTTTTTGCATCGTGTGCAGCCGGCGAGACCCTGTGAATGCTGTGCCTGGGAAGCACCATAAACATCTCGACGTCGCATTCTTCACACATCTGTGCGAGAACCTCGCATGGTGTGAGCATCGCAGAAGCACGGAAGATCACATCGTGCCACCACGGGACGGGTGTGAGTCGCTGCGCTGCCCGGATCTCTGCGACCAGGTCGCAAACCTCGCAGTGTAGATGAAGGAACACAAGCGCGACTCTGACTTTTGAGCTTCGGGGTCGCAACCGCCGTCAACATCTTCTCCTGCTGGACGTATCGAGTTCCGACCTGTGTCGGAGGAGGGGAAGCGAACATCCTAGCATGGGAGATGCATCGTCTTCTGGCGTTTAAGCTGACGGAAGCCTCCCAGCTTTCCTCCCAGTCCACAAGTCTCGCCACCAATCCCGCATTGTTACCTGGCATTCCCAACAACAACTGGTGCCCGAGGCTACCAATGCCTTCTCAAGCTGAGCCGCAGAGGTGCGGATCAACTCTTTCAAGACATCGCCCGACCTTCCGAACATGTGAATCAGAACGCCGTTTTTTGGGGGTCGCTCAGCTCCGACCTCTCTCAGGTATTCCCTCATGGCCGTGAAGGAATCCAAGACGTCTTTCGTAAGGCTTCTTGCAGCCGCCAACTTCTCAGAGTTTTGGCCACCTGTTTTTTTTGGCAGAACGAACAAAGCCAGCACAAGGTGCGGATGTTGCTGCGGCCTTTCTCCGCTGCATCGCACTTGGAAAGCCTGAGCATCACGTACGTGAGGCGTCCCTTTACAAAAACTTCCGAGCTTCGAACGTCTGCATGGCATCCAAGAGGACATCCATGCTTAGGTCGTCCCTTCCCTGTGCTGCAGTGCACATGCTCAGCTGGCTTCGCTGAGCCCTGCTCAGTTCCACTGGCCTTGCGACGAACGTTCGCCACAGAGTTGAGGTGCGAAATGCAGGCCACAAATCGCCTCAACTCCTGTCGTGCAGAACGATAGGAGAAATCGGCTCGAGCTTGACCCGAAACCGTGCCTCCTGGTAATCGGGCCGCTGAAACACGTCTGCTTGCAGACTGCGAGCCTTGAGCGAAACATCTCAAAATGGCTGAAGCGGAAGTGGGGCACTCGAGGGCATGCTCATACTGCAAATACACCAAGATTCGTGTCTGTGTCTGTGTGCGTGCGCATGCTTCATATGCGCTTTCGTGCATGTACATGTGTATATGTATATGTATGTACATGTCTATCCACATAGAAATGTGTACAATAAGGGACCCTTACCCATAGATGATGTTTAGATACACCCGTGCATGTCGACACTCCCCTGATGCTAGCCTGACAAGCTCAAGCTTTCAGGAGTCTGTGCCTCAATAGACTGGAGCTTCTTCTCGCGCTCAATCGCCTGAAGGGCACTGCCGGAACAGTTCGCTTCGACCCCCTGCTTTGGCTTTCGTGCCTGAACCACCAGTCGTCGTGCTTTCTCTTCGATCTCAATCAGCTCCATGATGTACCTTGCAGCAACACCACGGAGTAGCTCCGGAGCCTGACAAGACCCATGCAGACCACTTGGAACTTTTTGCGCTTGGCAGCTAAGGGCGCTTATCGCAGCTTCCATGCACTTCAGGATGCTACGAAGGTGCAAAAGGACTCGGCCCACAAGGGTCTGTGCCCTCAGTCTGCGAAGACCTGAAGACTCCCCGGTCTAAACTGTGACAACTTTCCTGAACCACAGCTCCGGCCCATGCCTTCTGCCATTCGTCCACTGCCAGTATCTCGCGATCAGCCTCCCAAGCACTCAGTCTGCGAAACCGGAGCAATGCGTTCTGGGGCGATAGGCCTTCGGCTCTTCGGACCTCTCGGCCTAGCCAGTCGGGGGCTGTTCGTAGTAGAAGTATCTCACGGACACGCCAGCCTTTTGTGGGCATCCCGCTAGCCTCGCACTCAAGCACTCACAACTCCACTGCGACTCCTGATGTCTACTCCAAGAACTGCCAGAATGACTGGCCTTCCCTGCTTTGGGCTCCGGGCGAGGCTGCAAAGGACGTCACCCAGCTTTCCCGCTCTTCGAGCGCAGCTTCCCGTGCTGGCACACCTTACATGTGCACAGCATGTCTACAAGTAGCCAAAGCAGCACATGGTGGCTGGTGCTGTTGACAGTTCAGCGGCTGGCGGTCTGCATCTATTGAGAAGCCGTTGATGCTTCCAGGCAAGAGGCGCCAAGCCGCCAGAGCATTGTGACCTTCTGCGGTCGACACGGAGCTCCCAAGCCAAAGCCAAAGCTTCAAAAGTCAGAAAGCACAGCTGCACAAAGGCAACCACCGTCAACTGTCGCAGCCTCAATTCGCACAACAATGGCCTGCATCATTGCTGCACGGAGTCACAACAATAAGGCTCAGCCGATGACATCAACACCGAGGATCTTCTCCATCACTCCCAGCTGATCTGACACACAAAAGCTTTTGAAGGTGCCCCCCCAAGCCGCACGACACGACACACCGACCCAACGGCCTTGGAGCCTCCGATGACGCTGCAAGGCCACGGCCCGCTCCTCAGGATTTAGGGTTCAAGGCCTTTTTTGGGCATCGGTTCGTCCTGAGGGTCTGGGGTTTCGGGTAGGAATGTTAGTGCTGCGCCTGTTCGTATCACCAAAGCAGACCGAGAGCGACAATTCCTCTCGCGGGCCTTACTCGCGAGCTCCAGATCTTTCATCAGCAATTCAGCGGATGCCAAAGCATTCAAGGCCTTGATCTGTGAAAGCTGGAAAGGCGTGAAGTGCAGCAGTCGCCACAGCCTTGTCGTGCTTGGAGTCACCGAGAACTGATTGTGTCAGGGACCGCATGGAGCCCAACGACGCCATCTGCAGAGGTTCATGCTGCTGTACTCTCTTCA